TGTCTTCCTGGTGCCAATAATAGCCCGCAGTTGCATGCGCGGGCACTCCCGCTCGGCGTGACGTGGCCAGAAGCCCCCACCCATGTCTCGGGATTGCATCATGCCGACATGAAAACAACAACAATGCGCTCACTTGCTGTGCCGCATGTGCAGCACGCAGGTCCCCTCCTCCGCTCCGCCTTCCCGTAGGCTTGGAGTGGGGAGGAAGGCGATCTCTGCCTGCGTTTCCTGCACGATGTTGCAAATGCTGACACTCGCCCGCTATTCACTCATGATGTCAAGAAAGCGACCCGCGTCAATTTGGGACCGCCACTGCGCCCCCACCCCATCCACACTGTGGAGAAGGGAGAGGCGTCCAAAGAAAGACTCCGCTCCGATTTCGTTTTTTGCCATTGGATCGGCCCGCCTGATGGCTCACTCCTTCGCAGCATCATGCATGCGTGATGTTGTATGTGCGGGGGGTTTGGGTGGTCTGTTGTGACAATCGGCAGCGCATGGGCAGAGGAGCTTCCTTCAAATGGGGCTCTCGCTCTCTCTCGCCATGGGATGTGAGCCGCCTGGCCTCATAAAAGGGACTCGACGAGCGCCCGGGTACTTCCTGTTTCTCCTTACAGATAAATTTTTATCGCTTTTTTAGCCTCGCGCACCCTAATCTTCCTTCTTGTAATATTCCCTCTGCCTTCAAGCAACCGAAAAATGCAGTTCGCCAAGACCCTCGCACTTGCCGCCTTCGCCGCCGCTGTCTCTGCACAGGGAGGCATTGGCACTGCCATTGACATCAGCCACACTGGCACTGGAGCAACCTCCGTTGCGGCAACGTCCTCGGCAGTGTCCAGCGCACCCTCCTCGGCCGCTCCTTCGGGCTCCTCGGCCGTCACCTCTGCGCCATCATCGGCCACCACTACAGCGGCAACGCCTGCTACCTCCGCGCCCTCGAGCGCCGTGTCCTCTGCCGCCTCCTCGGTTGCTTCTCCCGCGTCGAGCCCCGCGTCTGCCGTCTCAACGACTGCTGTACAGTCTCCGGCCTCGCGCCCCGCGACCACTGGCGCATCGGCTGCCACGACCGAGCTTGACTCGCTGAGCGGCGACGCACAAGAGTCTGGCTCGGACTCTGTGGAAGGCAGCAGCATCGCAAAGACCAAGACCAGCGGAGCCACCACCCTTGCTTGCTCGCTCGCTGCTGTCATTGTTGCCGCCGCAGCTCTCTTCTAATTTCTTATTTTTCTCAAACACGCTTACTTTAATCAACACCTTTATTACTCCAATACCCGTTTAAATGCATGAAGACAAGCACAGCCACAAAGCCAGGAAACAGGCTGGCCTTCTAATGGTTCAGAAATGCATCAATTGTCAACCTCACATTTTGCATTGTAGCAACATGACTAATGGGGGAGTGAAGAAAGAGACATGCTTACTCGGCAACCAACGGCACTGGCGGGAAATAGCCGACCTAATGCACCACAAAGCGGTAGCGCGGAAGCTGCGCACGACGTTCTTCCTACATATTACATTAAAGCATTTGCAAACAGTACAATACATGCACAGTTAGCCAGCTGGTTGGTGTAAAAGCATGCTTAAAGAGGTAACCATCATCAAAAAGCACACATAGCGTAAACGATTCACTTACCATCGAATAGTGAACATCGCCATAGACGAGGCGCGAGGTCTTTGCCTTGGCCTTGGCCCCTCTGACTTGCTGCGCGGCAGCAGGTGTGGCCTCGTCCGCATCTATAAACGCAGGCACAGGCGCATGTTCTGCCCCAGCTGGCGCAGAGGAAGAAACATGCGTAGTCATTATCGATTGCGCCTCAACGGCAATGCTAATAGGCTTACCACTCATGCTGCTCGCCTGTAGCTTTGGCTGTGCGCTGTCCGGCAAGTAGGAATTTGCGACGGCTGGTGGCACAATTTCGTGCACTGTGACCGCGGGCACTGTGGGCGGCCGTGGCGGCGGCATTGGCGGGCGCGGCGGCATTGGCATCGGTCCGCTGGGCGGCATTGGCATTGATCCGCTGGGCGGCATATCAAACGGCCTGGTAGGAAGCCCAACAGCTGCCAGCGACGGCATCGGAGGGCGCGGAGGCATGGGCAAATGCATTGGCACTGGAGGCAGTGGCGCAGGCGGTCTGGGGTACGAGGCATAGAAATGTGGTGGTGGCGGTGGTAATGGAGGTCGGTGGAACCCAGGCGGCATGGGTGGTGGGCCAAAATGGTTGGGAAATGGCGGCGGAGGCGGGTACCCGCCGTTACCGCTCGGCAGCAAGTGTGGGGGGGGCGATGTCAGACCATAGCCAAAGCCGGAATAGGCCTGATGATGCTGCTGATTCTGCTGCATGACCTGTCGGTGCTGTTCAAGCTGCAGTCTCAGTTGCTCTGGATCCACCTGGGCCGACGATCCCGCGCCGCCATACGGCCCTCCACTTCCACCAGCGCTGCCAAAGCTGTCGTTCGGGTAGCGCTGACGCTTGAGCGTCGGCTCGCCCATCCTCTCGTGCATCCGATTCTCGTAGTCGACAACGTCTTCGTGGGGGATGCCCTCACTCCCAAATATCTCGAGGTCGGCCGAGTCACGCCCGTGCATGGCATTGGGTACACGCGTAATGTTTTCCTTGTGCACTTGCACGACATGCACAAACATTCCGCGGGCTGTATTTAGGCGCTTGGAGCAAATGTGGCACTTGAAATGCTTGGCCTTTTGGTGCTGCACCAGCACTTTTTCGTCCTCGAATTCCCGCTCACAGTACCAGCACCAGGGCTTTACTTCCATCCTCTTGCTCTTTTTGCGGCCCATCTTAAAAGGTATAGTAAAGCTAACACAAAAGGAATATAGGGGGAAAAGCTAATTTCGTGACAAGAAAAGAGAAAATAATTGGGATGGCTCCGAGTAGCTGATATCTCTTCAGTGCCTAAATGGTTTGATCGTGTGATTAGCAGCCCGCTCAACTCGCAAGCACAAAGCAATGTTTGTGTTTGGGCTGGCGGCACATTCGGTTTTGACCAAAGCCACAGGCCTTGTTGCGTGCTTATCTCGACTCTCCAAACACTTAAAAGTCGTCGTTACTCTGGCATAGCCTGCATCTCATCTGCTCGCCGAACTAGAAATGTGTTGCATTGGCGAGCTTTTCCAGTGCGAGACACCGTTGCTGCCTGTGGCGGCTGCCGTCGTCCTTGGCGGCGCGCTGCTGTACGTTTTGGTGCTCCGCAAGGCCAGTCTTGCCGCAATCCCGTTTGAGCTCAGGCCGCCTGGCGAGAGCCTGCCTGGCTGGAAGGGCGGGGAGATTCTGGACCGGCCCAGCATCCTCGTCGAAGGCCGCCCTGACCTTATCCAGTGCTTTGATCCAGCCACCGGGCGCTCTCTGGGCCAGGTGCCAGCCACCACCGCTGATCAGCTCAACGACAAGCTTAGGCGCGCACGAGTTGCGCAGGCGACGTGGGCCAAGACCACATTTGAGCAGCGGCGGCAGGTCCTGCGCACGCTCAACGAGTTTGTGCTAAAGCACCAGCGCGAAATCTGCCAAGTGGCGGCACGCGACTCGGGCAAGACGCTCATTGACGCAACACTGGGCGAGGTTCTGACCACCAATGCCAAGCTCCAGTGGACGATCAAGAACGGCGAAAGTGCGCTAAAGGACGACGTGCGTGATCCGGGCTTTATGATGATGTACAAAAAGGCCCGGGTCGTTTACCAGCCCCGCGGCGTGGTTGCTGCCCTGGTGTCTTGGAACTACCCGTTCCACAACACGGTTGGGCCGGTTATCTCGGCGCTGTTTGCGGGGAATGCCATTGTCGTCAAGGCCAGCGAGCACGTTGCATGGAGCATGGCGTACTGGGAGCAGATGGTCCGGCGCGCCCTCAACGTGTGCGGCCACGATCCCGAGCTTGTGCAGTTTGTCACCGGCTTTGCCGACGTTGGCCAAGCGCTGACGTCTTCGCCGCATGTGGATCACATCACCTTTATTGGCTCGCCCGAAGTGGGGAAGCTGGTTATGAAGTCGGCCAGCGCCAACCTGACGCCAGTTACGCTAGAGCTCGGTGGCAAGGACTGCGCCATAGTTTTTGACGACGCCGACATGTCCCAGTGCATTCCAGTACTGATGCGCGGCGTGATTCAGAACGCCTCGCAGAACTGCATTGGCATTGAGCGCATCTTGGTTCAGGCAGGTGCTTACGACCGCTTTGTTGCCGAAATGGCCCGCCGCATTAAGGCCGTCAGGCTGGGCGCCGTTCTCGACGATGGGGCCGAAGGCGTTGACTGCGGCGCGATGGTGCTGTCCGGCTGCTTTGATCGCCTGGAGGCTCTAGTCGCCGATGCTGTAGCCAAGGGCGCGCGCTGCCTAGTCGGCGGACACGCCTACGCCCACCCACGTCACCCCCGTGGCCAGTACTTTGAGCCCACCTTGCTGGTCGATGTCACTCCCGACATGGACATTACGCGCAACGAGACGTTTGGCCCCATCATGGTTGTCATGCGCTTCGCGGACGAGCAGGACGCGCTGGCCAGAGTCCACTCGTCGCCCTATGGCCTTGGCTCCAGCGTGTTCTCTGCCGACCGCCTACGCGCTCGCCGTGTGGCCCTCAGCCTGCGCACAGGCATGGCCAATGTCAACGATTTTGGCGTCAACTACATTTGCCAGTCCCTGCCCTTTGGCGGTGTTGGCATCAGTGGCTTTGGCCGCTTTGCCGGGCCCGAGGGTCTGCGCGCCCTGTGCGTCGAAAAGGCCTTCACTGAGGACCGCTTCCCCTTTATCAAGACCCCCATTCCCCCTATCGTAGACTACCCCATCCAAGACACGGAAAAGGGCTACCAGTTTACACAGCAAATCGTGGCCTTTGCCTACAGCGATTCGTGGTGGGCTTCCATCAAGGCTGGCCTCCGCCTCGGCCAGCTCTCCATGTAATAGCAGCTTGTTGGCAATAAATACTTCAGAAAAATCGTAGTCACGCAATTTTAAATAAAAAAATTTCATAACTGCAACAAGCACTATGCAAAGTGTAAAAAATGCTTGGAATGGGATTCGAACCCATGCATCTTTCGATACCACATTTCGGATTCAGCACGCAAGTGCTGACTCTTGAGTGTGGCGCCTTAGACCGCTCGGCCATCCAAGCGCTTTGAATTATGACCAAAGTCACAAATTATAGAAATTGAATACTTGATAAACTATAATAATAAAAGGGCAGCAGCTGCAATACAACAACCCGCACGTGCTGACATATTCCCAATATAAACGCCGAGAAAACATAGCACATGAATAAATCAGCCTGCAAAACTCTGTTAAAGTCTTGAAAAAATGTTTGCATTATAAGACTGCAAAAAATATTAATACAGTAGACTTTGTAATCAACCCTGTCTAGTCAAAAAGCATAAAACACCCCTTCCCGAAAAAACTAAAACCAAACTTTGCAATGTGTACAGTTGAGATACTAGTCTTATTCAATAAACTTGATAAGTGTAATATTGTGGAAGTTAGCCCTCACTTACTGCTGACTATTGCTTGGGCATCAATATTGGCCTGTTACCCAGCACATAGCTTGGTTGGAAAACACTTGATCAATTGACTTTGCCCTACAAGTCTGCACAGCCTGTGTCACATGACTGTTATGTGCTTGTAATGTCACTATGCTTGTGACATTACAAAAGAAGTCTTGCCTCTTTCATGACTCTAAATTCAGACAAGCTAATGCCAAAATTTGGTTTGCTGAGGTTGATGACTGCAGCACAGAAAACTGAATAAAAGCTGAATAACTGTTGCTGAGCTTGCTATAAAAAGGCAGCTGGCCAACCTACACAAGCAACAGTGGTTTTTCTCTTCACTTCAGACAAATTGGCATCTGCACTCAACAACTACAAAGCATTTTATTGTTGCCAACAATGGAATTTGAGCATACACATGTTAACACTGGGTTTGGGCTTCACTGCTACCTTCACATTTATAATGGTAAGTGTGAATTGGTATCAAAAAACAAATCATTTATTACTGTCAATGCAAATAATGCAGTTAAAGAGGCTGGACTAAAGGTTGACAATGATAGGCTATTTAAGGCGTACTATAGCTATGATGACTTGGAGAAACAAGAAAGCCAAATTATTGATGGAGATTGTTAAATGTATAGCTGTTCAAATGTTAGTTTAATAATGTTTCCAAAAGTTACTAAACCCCTCCTCCTCTCTTCTCCTTCATAAACCAAGGAAAGGTTGCATTTGAATACTAATGCTCATGCCCTACTCCAGTTGTCTCTGACACACAAAAGATCAGTGCTATGATCTTTCCCTGTGTCACAGAGATGTCAAAAAAGCCATGTTCAAAGACAGAGGTGCCACTGGGTATTATATAATGTATGTGCGCTATGACAATGATAATTGAGTTAGGAAATAATGTTTTTAGAGTATAGTATTTCTTTTGAAGAGGAGTAGCAAATACAATTTCAAACTTGCAAAGGGATAATCGCCTTCATTATTAAGTAAGAGCCAGGCATAACCTTCTGTACAGCTGATAAGCCTGATAGCAAAAAGTCGCCCGGCTAGCTCAACTGGAAGAGCATCAGACTTCTAATCTGAAGGTTGCGGGTTCGAGCCCCGCGTTGGGCTTTTGGCGAAATTATCTTTTTTTTGCCGCGACTGATTGAGTGATCGGATCAAGTCGTGTCCATATTTTTTTATAAACACTTTTTTTTTTTTTTTTTTTTTTTCAAGTTTGAGTGTGTTGGCAAGCCGCAGTGTAGTTTTCTGGTTCACTTGTGTTCAATTCATTGTCTAATATATAGATTTCGAGGAGGAATGGCGGCGACAGACTTTAAAGCCAAGGCCAAGGCAAAGACCAAGGCCAAGGCCAAGGATGTTTCTAGCAAAAAGAAGCGTGGAGGGATCAGTGCACGGCGGGCGCATCGGCCGTCGGATAACATGGGTGAGGTCAAGACACAAGAGGTTGAGGTAAAGGAGGAATCGGACGATGAGGATATCGATCCGGAGGACATGGAGTTTGTGCGAGAGAACGCGAAGAGTCTCGGGTTTTTGAGCTCGGTGGATCCAGAGAAGCTTGGCAAAATTAACAAGGAAGCCAAGGTAAAGGGTGTTCGGTACAGAGAAAAGCCCAAAGCGGTTGCACCTGGCGAGCTCTCCGAGACGGAGGACGAGTCTGACGCGGAGATAGTGGCGGAAGGCAGCGATGATGACAGCGGGCTGGAAGTTTGCAGCGATGATGGCAGCGGGCTGGAGGTTTACAGCGAGTCCGAGGCGGAGATGGTCGCAGAGGACAGCGGGTCTGATGCAGAGAGCATGGGCGAGGATGCAGAGAACGAGGTCGAGTCCGATGGCGACTACGAGTTCCGTAACAGCAAGGCGCGGCGAGAGCAGAAGCGCAAGGCCATTATGGACGACGTCATGAGCTACGAGCAGGCGCCGCGGGCATTCGCGCAGGCAGCGAAGAAGGCCAAAGTGTCGAGTCGGCTGCCTATAAAGATGGCGGACGGGCGACTGGTGGCATCGGATGGGTCGGATGACGAAGATGATGACGAGGATGACGAGGATGACGATGGTAAAGGTGGCGACAAGATGGACGTGTCGGATGATGAAAAGCCTGAAGCAACAGGCTCCGCGGCAGCTGAATCGACCACTGACTTTAGCACCGAGCCTGACCGCGCTTCGATGACGCGCAAGCAGTACATTGTGGCGCAGCAGAACCGGCTGGCGGGACTGGCAGATCTGATCATGCAGGACCCCACGCGCGGGGCCAAGGCGTACCGGCTGCTGCACCAGATCAGCGAATCGGAGGACGCGCGAGTGCGGCGGCTGGGGCTGCTGACGCAGCTGGGCGTGTACTGCGACGTGCTGCCGGGGTACCGGATCCGCGCGCTGACCGAGAAGGAGAAGCAGATGAAGGTGACGAAGGAGGTGCGGGCGCAGCGCATGCACGAGGAGGCGCTTGTCACCAGCTACGGCGCGTACCTGCGGCAGCTGTTTGCAGCGGCCAAGAGCGCGCTGCGGGTGTTTGGCGACGCGAATGCCGACGTGGAGACCGGGGCAGTGGCGGCGCGCGCGCTGGGCGAGCTGGTGAACGCGCATCCGCACTTCAACTTCCGGCGCGACATCCTGGCGGCGCTGGTGGACCTGTACGTGCAGCCGTCGTCGCGCATCAGCATGGAGGCGTTTGCGCCGGTGGCGCGTACGGCGCGGCTGGCGGTGCTGCGGCTGTTCCGCAGCGACGCGTCTGGCGAGTACGCGCTGGACGCGGTGCTGCTGGCGGCAAAGCGCATCAAGCGGCTGTCGTACCGTGTCGACGCCAGCGCGCTACGGCCATGGCTGCACCTGCGGCTGCGCGACGAGCTGCGCGAGAACCCCGACGACCGCCGGCGCGCCGACGAGGAGCAGCAGCGCCGCGAGCAGCAGCGCGAGCAGCGCAAGCTGCTTCGCCGCAAGAAGGGCAGCGCGGCGGTCCGCGACGCGCGTCGCGCGCTGCACGAGTCCAAGGCGCAGGTCAAGGCGCGGCGCGTGCAGCAGGACGTGGCGCGCACGCTGCGCGACGCCAGCGCCGAGGTGTCGCGCGACGACCGCGAGCGGTGGTTCGGCGAAACGCTGAAGCACGTCTTTGTCACGTACTTCCGCATCCTCAAGCAGCGCGACAACATCGGCGGGCTGCTGCCTGCCGTGCTGGAGGGCCTGGCCAAGTACGCGCATCTGATCAGCGTCGAGTTTTTCGTTGATCTGTTTGGGCTGCTGCGGCGCATCATGCGGGGGCAGCATGGCGTCGGCATCGGCGACAATGCGGCGGACCCTGGGGACCATGAGGACCCTGCAGACGCCTCGGATCTGGTCTCTCCTCGCGTTGGGCTGCGCGCGTCGCTCCTGTGCGTGCTGACGGCGCTACACATCCTGACGGGGCAGGGCGAGGCGCTGAACTTGGACATCAAGGACTTTTTCCACCAGCTGTATGCGCTGCTGCCGCCGCTGGCCACCAACCCGCGCATCGAGGCCACGCGCATGTCGGCGCTGTCGGACGGCACACGATACACCGTGTACCTGACGCCGGCCGACGTGGCAGCGCGCACGGCGCAGCTGCGCGCCGCAAAGTCCGGGGCTGCCGGCGGGCTCGAGAGCGCGCAGCTCGACGAGGCCGTGTGGGAAGAGACCGTGCGCAGCGAGGCCGACCTGCTGTTCGAGAGCCTGGAGCTGATGTTTCTGGGCCGATCCAAGGTGGCGTCGCTCACGCGCGTCGCCGCCTTTGCCAAGCGCTTGGCTGCCGCTGCACTGCACTGGCCGCCCCGCACTGCCGTGCGCGCTGTCGAGTTCATCCACCGCCTGCTGCTCAAGTATCCCGGCCTCGACCGCATGCTGTCGTCCGAGGAGCACGCCGGCTGCGGTCTGTACCTGCGCGACCTTGACGACCCCGACATGTGCAACCCATTCGCCACCAGTCTGTTTGAGCTGCACTGGCTCCAGATCCACCACAGCGCCGCCGTGCAGGCCGCCACGCGCCGCCTGCTGGACTTTGCGCGCGCTGAGGACAAAAAACACCGGATGTAGTTGTATCTGCTAGTCTTGCCTTTCTTCGCTCGTCGCTCTACTATATTCGCTATACACCGCCTCGCAGTAATCGTCTGATTAACCTGGGGCCCATGCTCAATACCCGCCTCTATCCCCTCTGGCCTTTTGCCACCAAAAGTCTCCCTTTCTGCTTCTAGGTCTCTTTCTTTCTTCAAAGCTAATTTGCTCTCAATTCTCTTTTTTAATTGTTCGCTGGTCTCTTCTCATTTTTGCCCAGTGTTCCTTCCGACGGCCCGCGCTCCCACCTCCCATTCCTCTGGGTAGTGCGCCCACCACACACTCTTCGCTTGCTCACTTGGCCCGTCAGTCGCGGGGAGGGAAACGAGGACAACAATAACCCTCCCCACCTTTATACCTTTTTTGTCAATTTTGCCTCGCGTCTTTCATTTCTTTCCGAATTTCTTTATTTTTCTTTACATTTTTTGCACCTCTTCCGTGTCCGCGATTAACCTCGAGGAATATTGCTCTCGCTTTCGAGTGCATTTCTCTTCTGTACATTATATTATTATCGGCGTTATTGGGCTCGCTGGGGGACGCTCGTGACACACGCGCATACTGCCCCTGTTGCTATTTGGTTTCTTTTTTGCTTTATCACAACGGTATGTGCTTTTTGTTCTTCTTTTCTTGTTTTACAAGGCGTGCTTTGGTTACATGGTCTCCAATTGCCAAAGTACTTGCTCCTAATACTCTGCTTTCCATTTAATTTTCATAGTCTAGGCAAATGTCCACCAGCGTAGCTACCGGTAATTCCTTAAACGCACATACCAGCAGCAGTCAAGCAGCCGCACACATGCCTTCTGCCTCGCGATCGTCGTCGCCACCAATCGATGACATTGAGGAAGAGGAGGAGGAAGAAGAAGAGGAGGAGGACATTGATTTTGAAGACGAGCTGCAGCAGGAGCTCGAGAACGAAATGAGCGCATCCTACGACAACCTGTTCGAAGACGATTTTGCCCAGTCTCGATCGCCAACTGGTCATAGTAGTGTTGCAGGGGACAGCGAGGTTGATGCCGACCTTTTTGGCAGCGACATTGATAGCGATGACGAGGATGACCTGGATCTGAACTTTGAGGATCCGCCAGACGCTGCCGCTTCTGCCAATCCGCCACCAGAGCTACCAGTCACAACGCCTGACGAAGATTCAGCTTCAGACGACGAGTTTGAGGCTGTTGAATCCAACGCTGCTCAGCTTGCACAGCAGCCCGTTCTCGATCACACATCCGCTGCGGACACAAGTCACCAGCGTCGCCTTAGGAACCAGGTGGGAGACAGATGCTTTCTCGAACGGTTCAAGGATGAAGTGCCTTCCATGGTTTTGCACATGCTGGACACTCACTTTCGGTTTGAGGGACAAGACGGCGCCTTTCATTACAACGGGCCCATGCGTTTCTTTTTTGACGCTATGAACGACGGTGTGATTCCTATCGACTTGGTTGATGTCTTTGCTCAGCTCAGTTGTCGCTACTACGAGGGCTGCCTTATTGTGGAGGTACGCGATTACCGTCGTCCCGATAACGAGTCTAAATTGCGGAAGCAGAATCGCAGCGAGTTGCTTACTTGGTCGGCTTTTGGTGCCAGCAATTCTCATTCCTACCGATTTCATCGCCCGTCTGATGCCTCTCCGCTCCCCTCACATGTGCTTCCCGAGCCTGGTACCACCGCTGCCAACAGCTTGCTTTCAAATGCATCCACTCCGCCCTGTCGGTCGAGTTCAGAGGGCGTTAGTAATGCAGCAGGTGCCAAGATCTTTCGAAAGGTTCTGCGCCCGACGCCCGAGACCCTCAATTTAGATTTGCGTTTAGCGTGCGAGCAGACGCGGGTCAAGCTTTCTCAGAGTGACATGCTTGAAATGGAGGGGATGCTTTTGCTGGCCGTCGAAGAGCCCCTGGATCTCGATCCAGACTTTCAGGTCAGCCGTATTTCCAACGCCACACGATTCGTCGAGTACGAGCACTTGTTGCCTCACAAACGACGCAAATACAATTCGGCAGAAATCGAGGCGGAGAAGACTGAGCGCGAAGAGAAGCTCAAGCTGTTGACTCTTATGG